AAGGAAGACCACCAAGATGGTCAAGGGATTCCATAACCTGACATACGAGGACAGATTGCGATCATTGGGACTATATTCTGCTCAGTAACGCCGAACTCGGAGAGACTTGATTTTGACGCATCAAATACTGCAGAACCCAAACCATCCGTGTCGATCGCTTCTCATTTTATCGAACAATGTACACCTAAGGGACCACCGTTTCAAACAACTGATTTCAAAGTCTCGACTGGATTGCCGGCGCCAGTCTTTTGCAGTCAGAGTATGAAAATTTCGGAACGTCCTTCCATCTTACGTCGTTCGTGCACCCACTATTGAATCTTTGAAGCAGAGACTCGACGAAACCTTGGCACACCTCACATTCATACACCACTAACAGCAAACGGAAATTCACTGTAGCCTACATTCTCTATTATCTCCTACCCGGAACTCTATGCGACTCCTTTTTTGATGTGTAACAATTCCTCTGTGTAAATATCCTATGGGACAAGAGAAGCACTAGCTATTCCCATAATAAAACTTTAAACTTTAACACTGTGAGTCTGTTTGGAAATAGCTATTAGAAATGATACACCTAGCAAAATATTCTTGAATCGATGAGTGGGATTCTGTATAAGTTGGACTAGAATCCGTGCCTTTTGTTTTACTGTCCAATAATTCATAAACTGTTCATTCATAAGCTATTCTATAAATATGAGCGCCAATAAAGTTGCACACTAACGTTCATATTCTGCTTGCAGCTTTTTTTTCAAGCACTCTCCATCTTTGAACACCTATTCCGCGTCACTCCACTTAAAGTATGTCAGTCGAAAATTTCTAACCATACAAAACCAACGGTTGTTTTTTTCTGGTCGATCTAATGGCAGTCCATGGATCGATAGCTTTTTCATTGTAACTCGATTGATTAACGACCACCCGTGGCGTGAATCATTGGATTATCCACTTGGACGAGGTCATTTTTTACCTGGAAGAGGCATATATTTATTTGTTCTAATGTGCTACTGCATCTGTGACGAATCATTTAACGTTCGCGATTGTGCGTTGTGTTTGAACCACATTGAAAAAACTCATTTACATTGCCCTTTTTACATCGATGGCACGATGCGGTCTGTTCTTCTCTTCATCTGTGTTACTTTGGCGTTTAGTGTGAGGTACTTAGAGATTTTCCATCCCTGTTGTTTACCTCATCGAACGTAGTAGATGTGATACCAAAGGCAGTCAATCAACATTCGTTGCTCTGAACTGAGGAAATCCCCGTTAGGATGATAAATTGATTAATGATGTGAGAATTTGTGAAATCTTAAAGAAATGTGAGGTTAACCAACTCGTTAGTTTCCTCTGGAATGAAAACTAGATATCTGTAGACGAGATCACATTGTTCAAGGTAATGTCCGGACTAATGTTTGCTAATAGGGGACGCCGGTGACGCCGCCATAACAACCAAATGCTGTCGTAGTCGATAATGTTTCATGGCCAGTAAGACCTGGTTCATTTGTTTAGGAAACCCGTAGCCACCATCCCTACAAATAGCTTTTGACTAAACAAGAACCCGGGTTGCGCCTTCGAAGGAAAAATTGGGTTACTAGTGGTGCCACTTTGTGCTGCACTTCCAAGAATCGTCATAATATCCTCCGCGAAGTTGGCTCAGCTTCACGGAGAATAAAGTTGTCTCGATTAAGTAAAAGTGAAGTCTAATTCCGAAGTGATCACAGGATATTGTTCTCCTTGGTTTAACTGTGCGCCCTTGGCTAGGAAAAAGTATTCAGTTTTCATTTAGTGAGCTGATCTCTGCATATGAAAGTCATTGTTAATTTTGGCCTCGCCTCCGAGCCTGGGTCAAAGTTATAGATACTGTAGCTGATCAGACCCCGGGGAAAATCAGTGACAAGAATGCCGCGAAAATGAACCTTTTTCCGTGTTGTTTCTGTGTTTGAAGAATAACCGGAGACTGTGTCCCAAGGAGCATGTGAGTAGTCATTTTGCTGTTACGCTCCCACGGGCAAAATTTAATAAGCTAAACTCAC